TATCATAATTCATGGCGCGCACGTTGCCGCCATATATTTTGAAACCGGTATCCACGCACTGCGAGCAAATTTCACGTTGATTTAATCGTCGAATGTTGAATAGACGGGGGCGCGTTTGATATAAATGAAATACACGAGGGTATTCAATTTTACATCTCGCTACTGCCGTCTCTTGTTATTTTTTTCTTTAATTTCTAGAATACGAAACTTACGATGAATGCGACGCGTACGAAACACGCTTGCGTGCCGTTATTGTGTAATTCGCGATGATTTTGCACACGCGATCGCGCAAAAATGAAAAGAAAAATATACGGGAAACGAAGTTCCGAATCAGGTAATTTGCAGTTTGTTGCTCGCAGAACGGCGTCATATGTTTGCATAAATTTTCAAGATCGAGATAGCGGGAAACAGGTACGATAATGCGAGTGTATTAGACGAAACATGCGTAAAATTAAAGAATTAATGAACTGCTGAGTAATTTATTTTTCAGACGGTCTGTAACGATAATATACCGCCAGCACGACTAGTTGTCAAGTTTCATTATAGAAAAATATTTTAACACTGTGAAATAACCGAGTCCGTTTATTTTTTTCTTAAAGCACCTTGTTCATAATGAAAGAGAAATATTCATAGACTCTCTGAGATGAGAAAAAAAAGAAGACCGCTCAATTCTCGCTTGTCGAAATGTTAATATTCGCCATGACGAATTGCGATGAAACGAAGCATAGTAAAAAAAAAGTTAATACTAAGACCGTACGATCAGACGATGATTAATCAAATCTTGTTCCCAATAACACGATACCTTTACAAACTTCCCCACTCGAGTGGATTCAATGTTGACCTTAATTAACTTTTAATTTAATACACACGATCGCAAAAAAGCTGAGAGCTCGCTGAAAACCGTCGAGAAACTGTTCTGATTTTCGCTAGTGTCGCGGATATTTTTCTAAAATTTTAGTAAAACAGTTACGATCCATCTCGTTGCCATTTCATTCATTTCAGGATAATGCGGTTAACCTCTTCGCAAATGCGATTTCCTCGCCGCGGGCAACATGATATTCCAGCATGTCTATTTGCTTCGACCCAAATTAGAAAATTTACCGCCGGTGACCTCTTAATGGATTGTCAGGACAATAGGATTGATCTTTCTCGTTGGAGAGCACTTTCCAATAAATCAAGTTTACGAGACTGCCGGAAAAAATGGAGCTCGCTAATACAAATACCAGATACCGGAAATCAACGCCGGATTCGTTTAATTGTGGATGAAAGTTAGAAACATGAAATTCAATACATTTCATAATTAACTCCTAAACACCATTATCACGAAGTAATTGAATTCACTGTTACTTAACCTGATAACATACACTAAATTATTCATGAAATTAAGCTAAAAATCTTCAATATTTAATAAATTTTTAATTGAACAATTTCAAATTTAATTTTAATTTTAATATTTAAAACTTCAAGTTCCTATATGTATTCTGCAATAAATGAGTCGCCATTTTACAACCTATAGGTTCAAGCTAAAAGTAGTACAATTAATAAATCACTGTGAAAAATAGCTATAAATTTGAACGAACTTTAAAAACTCTTTCAGAATTCATCCATGACATTTATACAAAATGTATCGACTACTATTAATGTCTGTGCATAGATTCGGAAATGGGTCATCAAAAAACTGGTCGCAATTAAGCGTTTCTAGTCAAAAGTGTCCTTAGGCTGATTATACATGCTCGTGGCGATTACATGTTGCTCGTAGATGCAGATGTAATAGCCGCATACATTAAGTGCACACGCCACTATGAATATTTCATTCGTGGCGGCGATACGAGACATCGGCAACAGAAAATACGAATTATCCATACTTTCATAAATATTGAACGTTGTGCGGGTTTGATAACAACTCAACAGCTACCACGAAGTCGGTATAATTCTTAATTATCGGAAAGAAGTTAAATTATATTATACATTCATCCTTTTAATCAACTTGCTTCGATATAAGGTATTCAAGGAAAGCATATCACCGGTGTAATTAAGTTTCTAGCAGCTGAAATTTATATATCTTCTCTTAAAAATGGGTTTCAATAACTCACCGAAGCAGCGGCTGCACTCGAGTTTACTATAATTGCCAGTCTCGGCTTCACAGGAGAAAATTTTTGTATCTTGATAGCGCATAAGTAAGGGGCCGCGATAGAATCTTCACGTCGCGCCCTAAAAACGCGGCATATTGCTTGTTTTATACGACAAAAAGGACATTTTATCGCGAGATTCTCCGCTTGATACGCGACATCTTCTGCAAGCGTGTTGGGAATGAAAATTACCGAAAGAAAAATGATCTCACCCCATCAAGCAGAAAACATCCAGACTATGCATTCTTAACGCACAGAATGTCATAATTATTGACATTTTCCTGTACGATGTTCCGTAAAATGTTTATATGAAAGCCTGTCATCCTTCAAAAACTGAATAGATCGAGTGTAATTAAAGGAAAAACAAATTGCAGCTGTTCAAACTTATATAAATCAGGTAATAAATTAATTCAGCGACGTACGAGTCATGAGATTCGTGATTATTTGAACATTTATGTCGTGTCATCCTATCTTCAAATTACACTGCAGAATATAATTAATGGAAAGAAACGGTAAACGATATCTGTCTGTTGCTTTTAATTACCCAACTGCATATTGTTCCAGGTGTGCAGAAAGCCGGAGACGTGTAACAGCTTTTTAGGAGCAGACATGGCCACGATCCCGTCCATATTTCGTCGATCGTAAAACAGTCATCCGTCATATGAAATTCATTTACGTCAAAAGAAGTGTTTTCGCACGAAATTAATTTTCTTCACGCCATCGCGCCAGGAGAAATTACATCGGACTTTCACCCTTCGCCGAGTATTTCCTTGTACCCTGCGCGAAACACTACTTGCAATTTGCATCGATACCAGCTCGAGCTCGTTCGATTCCTTCGTCAGAAAATTCATCCCGTGATAAGCGTAAGAATGATGACTAACGCTTTATAAATAAATTACTTATTGTTCGTGACAGTTGATCAAACACAAACGGGACTGCATAAAATAATAATTTATCATGTATCATTGCGTATACAAAGCCTACAGTTATTTTCTGTATAGTACTCATCAACGAGTGCTTATTGTTGCCAATGGATTGCCAGCTTTCCGATTTTAGTTTGACGAGTACTCTTCTTTTTTTAGTGTAAATATTTTAGCGATACTCGAGGATCCATCGATTGTAAATTGTGAAAGTGGACACAATGGACTATTTTGCCGCAACCATATGTCTCAATCTCGATCTAATCTCGTGGAACACATCCGATCGTTCGATACCACGCCTACTTCTTGTATTATTCCTATATCCCCGATTGCCTGTCTACTCATCTTTCCTTTCTTTCTTTCTTTCTTTCTCTTTATTATTTCAAACGAAAATGCATGCAAATCGAGCGTATTTTTTTAGAAACTTTCTCAGAAATGGAGCAAACTTTAAGACCACTCCAAGAAAAAGCTTTTATAGATGTCGTAAAGGGTAGGACAGGTATTACCATATTTATGGAATGTCGAGAAAATAGGGAGGTTGACGACTTGCCAGTTACAGAAAGAATACTGTAATTACAGACTTCAGGAAATAGTGTCTAACACGATTTGCCAATTAAACAGAGAATACTTGTATAAGTGCATATTTAATGATAGCTTCAATTAAAGAAACTACATGAGAACTGATCTCTATTTTTTTGTACAGTGCTGCTTTCATGTTTTTTATGCTTGTCGACTGCAAAACACCCCGTCGAAAACTAATTTTTACCCTGTACCCGATGGGTTACTATTAAATTATCGCTCCGATCGATCGAACGTTGAACGAAAAAGCAAACCGGAAAGAAAAACCACCCCTTTGATTTAACTCGACTACGTATATTTTCAGGCGAGCTTTTGTTGGAAACTTTGTTTGAAGACCTATCGTTGCTAAACACGTTAACCCAGATTCACCCTGCTATCTAAGTACTTTCAATCTAGGAAACTACTCATCCACTTGATCCTCTGAAAGTATTTATTTATCAATTAAGAGTAACGTCAGATCGTGAGTGAATCCCTGTTTGTGCGTTCGTCTCGAATGTCTCGAAAAGAATGCAGCCCTCGGACTACAACCATCTTTGTGTCTATCAAATATAGGGGTACTTTTGTTTATCCACCTCGTAGTATCTTCATTTTGTTGACCATTGCCTTTCATATTTTGCAAGGGATCAGATTTCTTACATTTCTAGGATAGGAAGTTCACGAAGAACGTGAGTGGAATTCTATAAATCACGTGGCAGAATTTTGAGACTGAACGCGACTGATGAACGTAACTATCGATCATCGTATCGATCGAAACAAACTTCTTTCTATTTGCTTTGTGTTCACCGATCATCTTTCGGAGGTCGAGGAACGATAAAAGGATAAAAGACGAGAAAGGGAGAAAAACTAGAAAAAGGATGAGGGCTGTTTCGTCCGCGCAGCCAAGCGGAAAATAGCTAATATTCTAAGACATCGGCGACATTACGTTCGAGATGAGTTTCAGCTGGAGATCTGTACATTTTGGAGAACGACCATTCGGTCCATTCGGTAAATTACCTTTAATTTAATATTCTATGAGATAATTAAAACAATTCCGTTGAAAAGCACAATTTGTTTTCAATTTCTTGAACGATCTTCGATAGTCTACTTCGAAAATACCGGCATGAAAATAATCTGCATGTTGTTTACCCTAGAGGAGATTAATTACAATGTGAAATGAGATGGGTGTAAGAATAACAACACTTCAGCATGATTGGCCGCAGACAATGTTCTTTCATTTGTCTCTGATACTATAAATCGATTTCTCTTGATAAGTACATTAAACAGCGTTATCTTTGCTGCAAAACAATTACCAGAGATCCATCATTAACGCCCTTGCTCTCTCCTGCTAAGCGGTTTGTTTTTACAACTGTCAAACCGAGTATAAAAGCAGTGGTATCATTCCATGGGGTCGTCAGTGATCGAACTTCTAACGAAGATGAAGGTGTCAGTGATATTACTGTTGGTTTCGGTATCCTGGGTGGTTGCCTTCCCCGGACCACAATGGAATGTGGAAGAGAAAGGAAAAGATGGCTCGTCACGCGGGCATGAAAGTCTGGTACTTGAATTCGTATTAGTTATACATTTTACCAAATTCCATACGGAATTCAATAGTTTTAAACGTAGAAGCAATTGTTAATTTCTATTTATCGAATACAGATAGGCTTAGGAGGATTAATTGGAGGGGATGGAAAAGATGGAGGATTACTCAGCGGCCTGGTGTCAGGAAAAGGAAAAATCAATCCCCTAGAATTATTGGTTAAAAAAGGAGATGGAGGCGGTAATAATTATTTACTATACGAACATTAAACTTAGCATTTAGAAGAACCGAATTCATTTTCTTTATTATATATTTGGCAGGAAAAGGAAAAGAAGACAAAAATCTAGAATGGAGCTCGATCTCGAAAGTTATTATATCCCAGGGAGGAGACGAAAACACTGTTAATAAACTTAAGGGTATTTTAGCAAAAGGTAATTTGATTCGTGATCAAATCTTAGCGATTGTTATAGGTGGTGGTGGAGAAGACATTCTTAACAAACTTAAGGGTATTACAGGAAAAGATAATTTAATTTATATAGTTTCCATGCCAAGTGAGTATCGAAAAAGCAAAAGATAATTCGTGTTTCTCAGGTGAAGGATCTTGGGGTGTGAACGAGAAGAAAATACTACAACAGGTGTCAGTTTTACTCAAAGGTGAAGGCAAGCCAGATTTGATGGAGACGATTAAGAAAGAGGTCGAGAAATTGGGCAAAGGTGGTGGAAAAGGACATGGATGGTCAGAAGGCAGAATAGAACATGCACAAAGTGATGTGAAGGTAAAGAAAGAATCAGTAGGTGCAGTCAAGGAATCTCACGGCAAAAAGAGCGAACACGGTGGTATAAAGATTACCGAACACAGTGGCGAAGATCATGAAGAGAAGGGTAGAAAGGGTTATAAGAGCAGTAGTAGTAGCGAGAGTCATAGTAAGAGCAGTAAAGACAGTAGCAGTGGAAAAGGCAGCAGCCACAGTCATGGCAAGAGCAGTAGTAGCGATAGTCATAGCAAGAGCAGTAAAGACAGTAGTAGCGATAGTCATAGCAAGAGTAGTAGTAGCAGTAGCAGTGAAAGCAGTGAAGAATGGCACAACCACCACGGCAAAAGGAGGAGCAAAAAGGTTGAAATTCGAGGACATGTCGAGCACAAAAATATAGGACATGGCGACCATAAAAAGGAGGTACTTGTCGAACATAAAAATGAGGGACATGTCGAACATAAAAATGAGGAACATGTCGAGCACAAAGTAGAGGGACATGCCGAGCACAAAGTTGAGGGACATGACCATAAAAGGGAGGTACATGTCGAGCACAAACCAGAGATACATGACGAGCACAAAGTAGTGGAACAGGTCGAGCACAAAGTTGAAGGACATGACGAGCACAAAGCAGAGGAACATGGAAAGGAAGTACAAGTCGAACTCAAAAAAGACGGACATGATGATCACAAAACAGAGGAACATGGAAAGGAGGTACAAGTCGATCTCAAAAAAGACGGACATGATGACCACAAAACAGAGGGACATGTCGATCATGGAAAGGAGGTACAAGTCGATCTCAAAAAAGACGAACATGATGACCTCAAAGGAAAGGGAGATGTCGAGCACAAAAATGTGGAACAAGTCGGCCATGGAAAGGAGGAAGAAGTAGTGATTGAAGTGCAAGTCAAAGAACAAATAACAAAGATAGCTGAAGAAAAAGTATTAGCGGAATTGAAAAAGAGTGGAAAAGGAAAAGAGAAGTTGACTGAAGAAGAGAAGAAACTATGCAGTGAAACAATAATGAAGAAAGTTGAAGAGCAAGTAGTAATTGTGAAGAAGGGTGGTAAGAAGTTAGAAGATGCTGAGATACTGAAGATAGGTGAAGAAGTAATCGAGAAAGAATTAAAAGAAGGCAATTTATTAAAGTTACTTGAAACATCTCAAAAAACCGAGGTAGTAGATGAAAAGAAAGAGGTGGTTTCCAAAGGGAAAGATGATGGAATGGAAAAGAAAATTTGAACCAAAGAAGATCGGCGAAGACAAATATAGTATAAACAATAGCAAAATATAGGGGAATAGGCTTAATGATTTTTAAGCATAAATCGTCAAATACAATTTATAGATAGCAGATAAATACTATCTAAAATCATTCTCAACTAATAAAATCATAATAACAATGTCTCAAAAGAGCAATATTATATTTAATCGTTACTAACTTATAACATTTCTATCGAAGTATCTCTAACATAAAAAATCATTTTAGAAACTGTAACAGTTTAATAATCAAGTTACATTTACTCGTGTTAAATATTATATTAAATATTGTAACAATAGTATTGTAGTAATAATAATAATAAAAATAATTCAAGCTTGCAGATATTGACTTTTTTTTGCTTCGAAAACTCAAACTTCATGTATCATTATTCTAAACAATACTGTAATTACCATGTTCATGAAATAGTAAGGATGATGATTTATCACGTACAAAGATAGAAATCTTGCCACTTAAAGAGGCGATATTATAAGTTCGATCGACAAGAAAACAGAAATAGAGTGGGATTTTTTCACGTTTATCGGGCGGCGATTGGTTTCGAATCGCGAACCATCTCGCGCGCGAAACTCGCTAACGCTCGGACCTCGCGGATCTCCTTACTGTCGGATCGCAAATTACAGACTTCGTTAGAATCCCCGTTATCTGGCCACCTCATCTCTTCCCCGGGAATTATAAAAACAATTCAGATTTATACCTTACGGCTTATCACGAGGGAGAAAGTTATCTGTACGTGTGCGCACCGACGAGTATGGTTAGTACGTTGCGCGGACAGCGGCCGATAAATCTTCAGCAGAGAAACGTTTTGTTTCCACGAAAGATTACAGGCGTTCGATAAAAAGTCATTGTGCCGGTGAGGGAAGTCTGTTCGAAGCCAAGGATTATCGTGAGAATGCAACTGGAAGGATGATCGAGAAGGTAGACGATGATTTTCAATCAAACCGTCTGCAATACACATGTGGGTTCTGTATGGAAAATGATCAAACGAATGTTTACATTGGTTCATTGGGAAAGGTAGTTTCGCTTTACTATTTTGAATCATCTTGTATACCCAAATCATACACGATTGCGTTAGAAAATTCCGAGAAACTTCATTTTCTTAGTTGAGTGTTAAAACGAGCTGCACGTCGTCTCGGTGAATCATGCAACAGCGAAAACGTTTCACCGGTTTTTCCGCGACACTTAAAATTTTAATCTCGAGCTAAATCTTGGCGCGGTATTCCGTCGCCAAGATACTTTGCTGTTTACTGCACCAAATGACTTGCTAGATTAGCGACATAAATCTTGCAACATTTTAGTAAATCTTGTGCTAAGTATAATAAGGTTACATAACAAGGTGTACATAGTTGGATCCAGAAGATTTCAAGGCGTTGTTTTAATATAAAAATCAATATTAAGGAAACCAGAGGAGTCGTAACGATTTTTCAAATATATTCTAAATGATTTTCTCACGGACGTGATCGCCAATCGCGCGTTAAAGGAGGGAGAGAAAGAAACTAGAATACCAAAAGCAATTCTAACGATCCTTACACCTAGCAGCGGTTATAATTGCCACGGGTCCGAGTCACGGTTGCGAGTGCGTCTACGATTACCCATTACCCGGATGAATATCTCGGATTACGGCACGGCAGCTAAATAAATTACTAAAGTAAGCGGCTCTGTTTCTCCTTCTTTCGCCGTCGCGTTTCCATCGGTTCCGTCTTCGTTTCGCGCGTATACGCGTACCACGGCTCGTCGACTTGCATATTAACAACGCCATAATGCGTGTGTACCGGTATAAATCTCGAGCGTTGCTCGGCCATGCTTCTCGATTCTTGCTAAGGCATAGAGAAAAGAGAGTATCGGGGTTCGATCTCCATTTGGTAACGAGGAAGTGAAATAAGGCGAGGCACGCGGAGTGTCCTCCTCCCTCCGGGCCAGTCGCGATTCCAATGGAAGACACGGGGGCCAGTTTATGCGGCATGGCACACGTAAATTTCGTACGTGGTTGTATTTTTGCCCGACTGTCGGGGACCCGTGTACCGGGGCAAGTTATACGGTAACGTTCGCTTCGTTATGAAAGGTTTATTAATTCGGACGTACGCGTCCTTTGCTCACCCGTCGTATCCTTTACGCCTCGCAGGTGGTACGTACACTTCCAGTTAAAACCAGACGAAAAATTTCAAATTACTTGCTCCATTAATTTTTCAAAAATGACTTCTTATCACCGTTGGCGAAGATGGTTTCAGGAAGAGGATTCGTAAGAGAGCGGAGGGTTAAAAAGAAGCCATCGAAAGGTCGCCTTATCGAAACACGTGGGAACCATTGATCCGAGTAATACGTACATAGACGCGAACTTGAAAACATTGTAGGGGCCGGTCAGCGGGGAAGATGAGGAAGGAAAAGAAGGAAGAAGACGACCCACGCGCCTCAATAACGATCACGATGCGGTCGTGGCTGTGTGTAGCCCGGAGCGGGTAACGAAGACAATGGCCGTAAATACTGGACACGAGATGCTCGTCATCGTACAGGGAAGCAAGGCATAATTCACAATGGGGTATATCTCTTTAAATCGCGCGAAAGCGTAAAAGCTCGTCGCGCGTTCGACTAGCGAGACCGAGCTGCACCGACTATGATATATTATCGCGGTTGAACTTTGCACGTTTCACCGGTTACGATCGAACGTGACTTTTCCGCGGGCGATTGAACGCCGCGCCACGTGGATCAACGCCGAAGATGAACGCATGCCCGATCTCTGATACGGCAACTTGCGACAGCCAAACGGCAAAAGGTTGATCGATTAATCAACGCGCCTAGTTAACGTCAGCACCTCTCCTGAAGTCGCGATACCTAAATCGCGAAGTTTTTAAAGCGTTTTTTGACACCTTTTAAAAATCGACCCATCTTACCACTATACTTTCTTCTTTTTTGCGGTTGCTGCAAGTAATTCTGAAAATCAGAGACATCCTGTGCAATCTACTTCAATTATATTAAATACATCTTACACATTAGTTACCTTGTTACAGTTACAATAACCACCTTGCTCTGCTACCTATTAGATCAAGGTATAATTGCATCGAGACGATTATACATTACACGTAATAAGGACGTAGAGGAAATCTCAATTTTCTCAATATTGACACTCACCAGGTAGCGATTCCTCGCGAATAAAAAACTGGAAATTATAGAACGAACATTTTTTGCTATCAGACATCCGCTACCGATGCTTCCACGCATCTCGATCCTAAAAGAGCTTCTGACACTATCGCAACAATATTATGTCGCGGTTTCATAACGTTGCTTTCACGTGTAGCTTTAATAGCGACGTGGCACCGCGACGGGCAAAAGAACTTTCCGTGAAATGGAAAAGAGATAGCCGTGAGTTCAATAGCTTCAGTAAATACAGCATTCGACAATGTTCTCATTCAATCGGTCGACGATGCTTGTTCTTTTGGTTGGCCACGTCGATTCAATTGACGCGCCGGCGCTGTTTTCAACAGGATAATCGTTGCTCGCCGAAACCCGCAGCCGTCTCTCACTGTTCGCCAAATGAACACCGGCTCTTTGCATCACGATGAATCGCTACCTTGAAAAACTGCGTCGCGACGGACGCAAAAACACAGTCATTTAATCAAAACCTGCGACTCCTGAATACGCCACATCCACCTGTTCGTCTGGTGTTCCGTGTGGAACGCCCGCGACGAACTGAATTAAACGGCACGCTGAATTCCCATCGTTAACAGTCAGCCAGAGAAACAACAATTTTAACCGGAATTATTTTAAAAAATTCGACACGCGTTATACCATGTCGTAAATAAAAGTGGATCTTGAGACCTTTTAATAATTTAATAATTTGAATATTATTGCTTCTGCACGAAAGAAACAGTGGTACTAAATAAAGCGGACCTTTTCGCGTTAACACATTAACACGATGCTTGTCGTGGAACAAATGCGAGTGAAAGTGTTACCGAAATTGATGCGAACCTAAATTTTATCGAGGTTCGATACGGTTCAAGGAGACGTTCAAAGCGAATCGAAGCGTTTTGTTGTCGGCACTTTCACATCGAATGAGATTGAAAATTACACGTGCAAGATCGTGAGAACGTACCGAGAGAAACTAAATATATAATGTTCAATTAAAATGAAAGAATGAGAGCAGAACGAATGGTTGAAAGGTGTAACAGTGGGTATATAACGTTAATTCGTGGATCGATGATTCGAAACCGGCAAAAGAGACGATTGGTTGAACGTTTTTCCTCACGAAGCGCGCCTTCGCAATCATCGTCGTTCATAATTCATCGTCGACAGGATGTGGCGAGAAAATATACTGAAGCGTGAACATAAAACACACTGAGAGTTGAACGATTCCCGTTTACATTATAAATGTAGCCAATCAAGCCCGGGGTAAGCGAGGCGGAGGAACTGTTCCGAGGGAAACTTGTCTAATCGACGTGTGTTCGTCGTTGTAAAAGATTCAATGGGTCGGTTCAACCTAACAGGAGATCTGTCGACAATCCTCTACACGATAGCATAGGATACGAAAGACTAACGACTACCTGGGAATATGCAGGTGCCTGATATTGCTTGTTTCGTCTGACGTCAACTTAAGTGTCCGATACATCTTTAAATATCCAATAACCCGATACACAAATTAATTTTAACCCGTTAACATTTAAAATCCACGAAGACAAAGAATTAAAATCCCAAACTAAATTAGCATGGACCGAGCCTAGGGGTGTTCCTCGGTCCCAAAAGAATGCACATGTGCAATTATTGTTTTTATTACAAGGAACAGTTATTACCGAACCACCGGGTGTGACCCAATTCGAGGACGCTCGTTCCCTCGGTCATTTTATACTCGTAACACGGTGAATTTCTCCCGTGAGTCGGCGTGGCTAACGGTAATTTAACAACGAACAAACAACACCGACTTCGAAGCAAACTCGTACCCTCGAAGATCATACGCGAAACTTTGCAACCGGAACTTACGCGCTCACCCTGGCCAGTGAACAATACAAATCTGCTTACCACCCAGAAGCAATTTCACCAGCGCGTAAAAACCATTTTATGATACTTTAATCGTTTTTCTTCTTCGCTCTCTTCGTGCCTTTTCTCCGAGGTTTTTGACGCTCCGAGCGATCTGATGCTTGTTTCACTGTCAGGC